GAGGTTTAGGGGGGCGGTAGCCTGAGGTGTTGTCCTGACATCAGAGGCATCCAGCCAAACACGGTCGCCAACCTTAAACTCCGGAGACAGAGTGCGTCTCTGGTCGTAGTAGCGCTTGTGCTCCTCCTTGGCTTTTGTGAGCGTGGCCTTGGCTTCAGCAACACCAGTGGTGATCCGGTCGCGGAACTCGTTCACTGACTCCATAGCGGAGCGGACTCCGGGTTCAAAGCACATGCGCGGGAGCCGGCCTGAGTCCATCATGAACGGGACTTGTTGTGTGGAGGAGTGAACATGGTTGTTATAGGCAAACTCCATGGCCGGAATCAGCTCATCCCAGTCATCCTGCTGATAGTTGGTGAAGATCCGCAGGTACTACTCCAGCTCCTGGTTGACGCGCTCTTTCTGCCCATCCGTCTGCGGGTGATACACGGTGGATGTGGCGGGCTTGATGCCAATCAGGCACCAGAGTTCGAGGCATTTCCGTGGGGTGCAGCTCTCCGTGGGGCAGTCTCCGGAGTGCCTTAATGCAACAGCACAAGTCACGGGTTGCAACGTACCGGCCAATATGGCGAGACATCTGGGGCCACCAGTAGTTCCAGGAGACCAACTCCAAGGTCTTGAAGTGACCTGCATGTCTGGCAACTCAAGTGTCATGGCAGAGCTCAATGATGTTTCTCCGAAGGTCCTTATCCTTTGGTACAACGATCTTCCCTCGGAAATGGAGAAGACTGCCGGAGACGGCCCACTCGTCAGACCGTGAGGAGCGGGGGCCTCGAGCTTGACCTTGAACCTTAAGAAGTTGCCGGGCCGCTAGTGCGACGGGCTCCTCCAGGTCAGGCTCACCGGAGAGGGCATCACAGATGTCGCGGAGGAGTTCAGAGCCAGGACTGTCAGGGGAACCCCCGCTTCGGCCTCCTTCGGACCCTCCGAACGCATCCGAGGCGCATCCGACCGGCGCCCCCTTGGACGCTCCGACCCACCCCGACCATCGTCCACGGCCTCCTTCGCCCGCACAATCACCGATCCGTCAAGACCCTCCCAACGATCACCTTGGGACAGAGCCTGCGACGCCGCTCAGGCCTTCTGCACTCTACGTCGGCAGTTACGGACGACCAGTATATAGTTGGCGCCCTAGCAGGCGGACCCTTAGAGTTTCTTCTCTTTGGATCCTCTCCGTGGGGTAGTCTCCGGAGTGCCTTGGTGCGACAGCACAAGTCACAGGTCGCAACATACCGGCCGATATGGCGAGACATCTGAGGCCACCAGTAGTTCCGGGAGACCAACTCCAAGGTCTTGAAACGACCTGCGTGTCCGGCAACTCGGGTGTCATGGCAGAGCTCGATGATGCGTCTCCGGAGGTCCCTGTCCTTTGGTACGACGATCTTCCCTCGGAAATGAAGAAGACCACCGGAGACGGCCCACTTGTCAGAATGTGAGGAGCGGGGGCCTCGAGCTTGACCTTGAACCTTAAGGAGTTGCCGGGCCGCTAGTGCGACGGGTTCCTCCAAGTCAGGCTCACCGGATAGGGCATCATGAATGTCGCGAAGGAGCTTTGAACCGGGGCCTGAAACAGAGACGCCCGCGAGTGCGCGGACGTGGAAGAGTTCAGGTCGCAGAAGGACGACGTCGGAGTTGTCGGAATCAACTCCGTGATTGGGTCTCCAGGAGAGGGTGTCAGGTCGACCCATGTTGCAACCAGGCTTGTGGTGCAGCGTGAAGTCGAACCGGGAGAGGTACAGGGACCACCGGGCCTGTCTCCGGTTGAGGTGCTGTGTCTTCCTGAAATACTCCGGATTCTTATGGTCAGTCCAAATCTCGACAGGGTGCGTGGCACCCTCAAGGAAGTGTCTATTACTCCTCGAGTGCGCGGATGATTGCGAGCATCTCCTTGTCATGGACTTCGTAGTTGCACTGGACATCATTTAAGCTTTTGGAACAGAATGCTACAGGGTGCCACTTCCCGTCTGGGGCGGATTGTGAAAGGACCGCCCCCATCACATAATTAGAGCTGTCTGCCTCAAGTCGGAAAGGCTGTGCGTCGTCCGGAATTGCCAAAACCGGTTCTGAGGTGACCACCTCCTTGATAGCCGGGTGTCTACGGTGGGAGTGACTCCGGACAGCATGACGGGTGCGGGGACCACAGGAGTGGAGGAGGACAAGTGGCAGAGGCGGTGACAAGGATGGAACAGACTCATACTCTGAGCCTGAGTCAGTGCCGAACCTGGCAATCCTGTCTGGTTGATCCCATAGAGAGTTTCTTCTGCTGTAAGGGCAACCCCGGAGGCCTGAGATCAAGGCCTAGCAGGGGAGGATCCAAAGAGTGAACATTTGTAAGCAAATACAAAGGAGGCTGACCTAGCAGGGGAGGATCCAAATTATATTAGCATTGGGGTGATGGCTGAGTCTTACCATAGCTCTGCTCGCAGTCTGAGCAGAGGCATCAGTTGGGATAGAAAGCACATACTGACCCATTTCGATCAATTCAGCGGGCCCGTGACCCATGACCATTTGGCCGAAATGTCCAATTCGGCCTGCAGCCGAATTTCGCGTGACATATTACCCGATTAGGAAGTTCGGCGCGCTGCAGGCGCCGAAAATTTGAAAATCTTCCCGATTGGGACAGTTTGGGACCAAAAGATTTAGCTGTGACCTGTGACCCGCCGAAATATTTCGGCCAAAAAATCTGATGTGACCGTGACCCGCCTAATTGAATGAAATAGGTCAGTACTATATCTAAGCCAAATTACTCTTATATTAAGCAGATGTTGTGTGAGTGTACACACATGTTTGATACTGGCCTTAGCAATTTATTTGCTCCAAATTTCCATTGTTGGGGTCACTGCTGTTAAAGCCACAAATTGGTAACAAAAGCTGTAAAATGTGATCCTAATTGGGATACAAAGCCATACATGATATCTTGCACTCAGTACTGTACAAAAATTAAAGCTTGCTTCCCCATTCCCATGTCACTCCCCTACCCTCTAATTTGTGATGGAGCGTTGATGGGGCGGAGCCTCGCTTACAAAGCGATTTGTCAGCGACCACGAAGCGGTTGCGCGAGCTTCTCCCCTATATGTGGCTGACAAGCCGCATCAATAAATCATATTGTCTAGGGCTATTAACCATGCTAACACCTAAGTGTGTGTACTAAGTATTCTGAATTTGCACAAATCAATAAATAAATATATAAAGTTTACTGACTTGGGTTGCAATCTATGTAGATAATAATAGACCAGATATTTAAGAGGCTTGTTGTGCACCTGTGTGTTATTCTAGAATTAATGTCATTTTTTGTTATTCAGGAATTCACTCGCTGAAGGCCTTTCTTAAGGCCTTTGCCTTCCGGCAAACACTGGTTTGAGATTCTCATTAGTTTTGAAGTCAACTCTTGAGAGGCTTCAAGTTGGGAGGCAATAATCATCCCTATCATGTGTTCCATCAACAAGGAACCCGGTTTAAAAATACTGTGAGAGTGAAGCCCGGAACAGCCCATCAACTTCGGATGCGCTCTGGGAAATAATAACATTCAAATCCGCATCAACCATCATCAGCGGAGATTAAAATACATCCGTCTTCGCCGACGCCCGCCGACGCATGTCCACGGTCTGGAATTTATTCGTCGCTTTTCCGCCCCAATTTGTGCTCTAGAGGCGCTTCTAGCCCCCCAGAACCTCCGCAAGCGGGATGCGCGCGGCATAGATCGAAGCGGCCATGCGGAAGCCACGCGATTCTCGAGGATCTGCGCCACGTCCGCTTGGCGACGTCAAGCCGCTAAGACGGACAGACGGGTCTCGGCAGAATGAATTTTTCGCTGAGTCGCCGGAACGGCTGCGGTTTGAGTTGCCGTGCCTCTGGGTGCGCGTGTGATATCGATTCAGTTCGTGATTTCAGGCTGAGCCTCACCTCCAATGAGATAAAACATTGTGGAAGTACGTGTGTATTCCAAGATTGCAATATTCATGGCGCCACATGCAGCAATCGCGCAAGTCTGGTTGGGTTGGCGCCACCAGTGGCCAAGTGACCTTGGAATCCTTGATCCCCGTCGATACAGATGAAGGACGTTCGACGACCACCGGCCCGGTGCCACAGATTCTCCAACGAAGCGCTGGTGCGTGTGTGCGGAATGCGGGACCCTTGGGAATGCAGAGAGCCTGAGAGAGGGTGACAAGTCGCCGAAGGAGTTGCATGCATATACTTAGCGCATCCTCTGGGAGATAGAGAATCGTCGGCCAGATCGGCGAACTAGTGCGGGGAAAACTTCGCCCACGGCGTGTTCCCGGGGAGACGCGAGACGGGGCCCGACGGAAGATCTGGCGTGGGCTCACCTGTCCCAGAATGGCAAAAGAAACTGCATACCAAGAAGAGACGTGATACCAGTTGTGAAAACGAAACGCCACAATGAAACAACAAGAGAATGGATATTGAGTCTGGACCGCAGAGAAGGAGAGACAGCGGACATCAGGAGCCGCGCAAGGAATTCGGACATTTCCAATTTGCAAGTCTAGGGAGGGAGCCGCGGTGACGACTTGGATGAAGAAACTGGTAGCGGATGAACTAGGAGTATCGGGCGGGCACATTCTATCTGAGTCGTTGGCCAAGGACTGCATAACCGAGAGTCTTCAAAAATGAAGGAAGGAATGCCTTCCGCGTCGGAAATGAATCGGCGATTGTGCCTTGCCAGTGCTCGGGTACAAGTAATTCGAATTTCGTTGAGAGCGTCGTTTTGGAGGATGCTATGGGGGGTAGTCGATTCAGTGCTGGGCGCCGTGTCGGAAGAGCGCTCGTCAGAACGGTAAGAGGCGCCTTTCCACGAGGCGGCAGTTCTGATCGAACGACGGCCGGCGTCTCACACATCACCGGCCTTGTGCACCTGCCACGAAGTGTGATGCTCTGCTTCTGCCGTCATCGTCAGAACGAGAAATTTGCGCTTTTACCCATGTAGCACCCACTAGCGAAGGTATAAAGCCCGCCGCCCACTAGGAGATAGAAGCATAATCGTCATGGCCTCCCCACCCACCCCCTCCGGCTCCCGCCCCGCACTTGGCCACGTCAACCTCATGGCGGACACACTCATCGCAAATGCGACCCCAGACGAGTGCGTCATTACTCTTCGCTTTCTCAGACACTGACGCAAGAGGGCAGTCTTCGTGCTATCATACGAAGTATGGTCTCCTCCGCCACACCTGGAATCGCCGCAGCTCTAAACGCTGCTGCTCGGGAACGTCTGTCGCAAACAGCCTACACGGGCATCCCTACACCCCCCTCCTCCGCGGGCTCATCCCCTCGAGAAGCCGATATCTCCGCATTCCCATTACTTACGCCGTATGGGCCGACACCGCATATGCAAGAACTTCTTCGACGAGCGAGGGCACTGTACGGGTCGGGAATGGGCTTTGCTTCCCTTGGGTGCGTATATGCCTGTTCATCCAACCATTTGCGGGTATTGACAGCCAGAGTAGGCTCCTTGCCCATGCGGCCCGCTCAACCCTCGGTCTACGTTGGGATGCCGAAGGAGAAGAGCAACTTACAGACATTCTTGCCCTGCTTGACGCCGATATGGCGCAAGCAGTCCAGAGTTGCAAAGAAGAGGTGGATTCGGGCCGCGTCCATTCATGGGAAGAGGCCAGTTTTGCTGTCAGTGACCTGCGCGCTGCTCTTCGAGAATGTGAAGCCGACTGTGCTTCTCGCGCCAGAAGACAGATGGTTTGCAGCGGCGAAAAGGAGTTCGCGTTTGAGCGCGCAATGATCAGTTTAAACTACTGGGAGGTCCCCGTCCTAAGGTCGTGAGTGCCGTGGCGATACCTCGCGTGTATTTTTTTCCCGAGTAGATTCTATATTCTCACCTGTACACAGTCGATGTAACGAGATTAAAACGAGATAGAACTCTGCCGCTCGACGGTCCGCGGCCATAGTTAAGCGTTGTACATATCAAGACTCCGAATCCGTCCGGGTCCGGGTCCGTCTCTCGTGACACCCAAAATAGAATCATCGGCGCATCAAATCGGAACACCATCGAAGCTTTCATGAAATTGAAGAATTTTCTTCTCTCCAAACCTGCACTGTTCTGCTCTGCTTTGGTCGACCAGGAGCTCAGGTACGTGGCCATACACGTTTGCCAAAAGTCTATGTAATAACATTAGTACAGATACGTTAAATTTAACCCGAAACTCGCCAATACTCCGAGTCCGACAAGTGCGCAATGTCCTGGGTGGTACACATAGGTGGCTTCAGGGCTAGGAACGTTCAGCACGTCTCTGAGTGCATTGAGCACGCTGGTATATGCACAATCTACCCTGCTTAGCCCGACTCAGACTCCCTCGGTCCACAGCCTGAGGAGCAGTACTAGTATAAAAGCTGGCAATTCTGCAGGCAACAACTAAACCGTTGTCGAGTTCCTTTCCCTTGGTCATATCCTTAATCTCTCCACCCTAATATGCGCAACATCTCTCTTATCGTTGTGGCCGCTGCTGCCACCATAGTAGCATCTGCTCCCGTTGACAAGTTGTAAGTCCACTCATTTATTCCTCAGTGCATGGAATGCTTATGCAATCAAAAGAAGACGCATGTGAACAGCGCAGAGGTCGGCGCGCCGACCGTCGCAGCTACTACCTCTGCGGATGTCTTCCAGACCGTTGAGATTTCGATTCCTGCCCCTGTCTCTCCTGCGGCAGTGAGTTCAGATGATAGCAAAAAGACACATTGTAGTTGCTAATGAGTTATATTTCAAAAGGACAAGCCTCAACCTAAAGCATCCGCAGCAGACAACGAAACGCCTTGCGTTATAGCTTGATCAAACGGATTCAAGCCGGGGTTTACCATTATTAGATTTTGTACATCTCGAACGCGGAACCACATTATGAGTACAGAATTTATTTGTTTGATAATGTCATGTCTTCCTCAACTTTCTATCTGAGGGAGAACGATAAATCAGTCAAGTCTTGTCTCTATATTAGAGGAGTGGTATATTTGGCGCTGTGGAAAGCATCCGGCGGAGACGCCTTCTCTTCTTGATCTCGTAATCTTAACTTCGTCATTCATATGTGCTTACTCTTTTTTCCCTTCGCCTCCCTTCTTCTTCTGCACCCACAACTCAAACCATATCTCAATGCCACACGAAGACTCGGCGTCGGAGACGTCGCGGCTGCTTCCTTCTGAAGCTTCCACACAATATGGAATGACGGATACCGAATCCGCGGCCCAAAAAGCTGGAGAAGAGAAGACGACCGCCGCGTTGCTCTCGGTGGTGCGTGGCTCGCGAGCATTGGAACGGGCGATCTCTGGGGCTGAAACTGGACCCAGCTCCTGCCAATGGGCATAGGGGTGTTCTTCTGCGCGATGGACCAGACAATTGTCGTGTCTTGTGGGTTGCCCCGGTTCTGTGCGAGGAAACTGACGCCGTTGGGCAGCTTACGCGGCCATCGGAAATGAGCTTGAGCAGCTGCAGATGACGAGTTGGATTGCGACGGCGTATATGCTTACGCTCACAAGTTTTCAGTGCGTCTCAGTCTCGCGTTATTGTCCCCTTCTTCTCAGCATGATGCCCTGACAGACCTTTGTACGGAAAAATGAGGTGAGTTTCACCATAACAATAACACAATAACCTCATCGGCCCTTCTCAGCGATATATTTGGCCGAAAAGCCTGTCTACTGTTTGCATACACGGTTTTCGCGTTTGGGACACTGTGTTGTGGTCTAGCGAGGACAATGCCTGAGCTCAACTAGCCCTTATACGCCCACCAGTGTCGCAGCGTCCGATGATCGGACATCAGCGGACATCAGAGCCGATTGCCGATGACACGACAATATTGTGTCAGCGCTCGTCGTCGTCGCCAGCGCCAAGTCATAACATAGGTCGTGTACGGTAAATGTTCTTATATTAGATGTCACATCCCATCGTATTTGCTGTATATTTTGCAGCTTTCCCACGTCCCCATGTAGAAGGTCGTCGATGACCAGTTGATGTCGAGTGTCGAACGTCGGCGACCATCCGGGCAACATCGGCCCCGATGTTTTGGCGCTTGACTGACCGGAGCCAGACTTTGGCTTGCCCAGGATGGGCAGCTCGCTCTCGCATGACTTCGATGGCAGATTCCAGTGTTGCAATGCGCTCGTGTACCCAGTCAACGGCCTCTGCTGTTTCCTGTAGATAGATAATCAGTACTTGGAATGTCGAGAGGAGTATGAGGTACTGTGCGCACATCATCATATTCATCTTCTGCAACAGGGGAGGATGAACGAGAGGACACACTGGCAGTCAGCAGATCCGTCACCGCGTTCTCCTCCATGACCTCATCAGAGGCTGACACGCAAGACGGCTGAGCGCGAGACGGAGATGGGCGACGTTTGCGTTTGATTCCGCGAGTGGCCGCTGCCAGTGGCTCAGCAGGAAGATCGCCATCCGTGATACTGCCGGGTTCCAGATCATCAGTATCGATGCTGAATGATCCGTCCTTGGCTATGAGCAGTGGATGGCGGTAGAATGGAATGACCCGACGGCGCACAACCTGACGGAAGAAGTTGCCGTGTGGAGGCTGGACTGCCTGCACCAGATGCTTGCATAGAATATAAGGGTTGTACTTTTGTTGGCCACAAGTACAAACCCAGCGCTCGATGTTGGTGTCGTAGGCCTGAGTGCCCAGCGTACGTTTTGACAGCATCTTGAAGTTCTTTTTGTAAGCCTTCTGAAATGGCGTCAGTGGCTTGACACGACCACGGAGATGATTGGGGTCAAAGAGTTGCATCTTTGCCTCTGTTGTGGGAATGACATTGGTTGTGATAAGGAAAACGAGTTGGTCGAGACGTGGATGGAGGAGGTGATGGAGGATTCCGTGCTTGAGATTGCGCCAGAAATTTTCGACAGCCATCGTTGTTCGCCAGTGACCAATGAAATTAGGCTGTGTCGATCGCGCCCAGAGCTTGTACTTTGCGGGACAATACCATGCACCCCACATATATGCCCACAACTCGCGCAAGCCCCGTTGCTTACAGAAGGTGTACATCTCATGTACAGCATCCTCGCGTATCTTCGCCGCGGTCCGAGTTTTTCCACGCCGATCGGGGAGCAACGGGTGCTCGCAAAAGTGCCGGATGAACATGTGGAGCACCTGCTTGCGATGCGGCGCACCACAGAAGACATAGGACTTGTCTTCTGCAAACGCTGTTTCCCCCGGCTCAAACCAAGTTGCCGGACCGTCAAAACGATCGATGCCGTCGCGGTCATCAATATCGACGTCCAGGCTGTCGGGGTCATCCTCGTCAAAGGAATCCAAGACACGCTGGAGGGCGGAAGGCCCGTTGGACTCGCGCTCAGGGTCCACTGGGGCTGCCGATTTTGCAAGTCCATTAAGATTGATCACAATCTTTGGCCGCGAGGGGGCGACAACAGTTTGCCCGTTGAAATGGACCTTGAAGATCGGGAGAACAGACTGAGCAACTTGAAGATTTTCCTAATCGTTCAATGAGATACAATGCATTGGATAAAAAGAGGAGACCTACCGGTGTGCGAAGCTTTGGGTCCATTTGCGCAATCGGAAGAAACCCGCGGTCGATCCAGTCAAACTCGCGAAATGCTTCCTCGGCGTCATAAAATGCGGGCCGGCGGGCCAGAACACATAAGCGCCCTTTTACGATTCGGATAGCGTGCCAAAAGCAGACTTGATATTTGGTGTCCTTCGGGAGCTCAGCCAGCAACGCATTGATCTCGGTAATGTCTTTGTCGGTCAGACACTGATGAACGCGAAGACGATGTCGCTCGAAAAAGTGGCGGATGAAGGCGCGCAGATACCGCTCTTTTGCTCCTGGATCAGGACTTGTTGACTTGAGCAACAGGAAGCCCAATGGTACGCCAGAGCCCGATACCTCCCCAAGGAGGGCATAGCACTCATACCCTGAGCGCGTTGTTTTGACTGATGGATATTAGTTGGTTCTGTACTGTTGGTATAATCACGTACAAGTCGAGTCAAGACCAATCTCACGGATAACACCAGACCATCTGTTGATAAACTTTGGGATTGCGAAAGCGAGCGCAACACAGCCATCGTCGGGGACATCTGGGAGATCAATTGGTTCCAGCTCTGGCCGTGATTCCATGAAAAGCCTTGCTGATTTGAGCTCATCGGGGTCATTCTGCCATTGATGTCGATGTTCTTTTGCGTAGAAGTTATAGACTGTGTGATATTTGAAGTTAGGTAAGGGATGCAAGTTCTTCACAATATCGGCCCAGAGCTATAAACCAGTTGAATACAGTATAAGACAAAGACAAAGCAACATTACCTGAGGAACACTCAGACTAGGATTTTTCTTGATATACTCCTTCACATCCTCCGGTAACTCGAGCGACGCGTATGGCAGATGGCAGTCACGATGGCGCAGACGTACATAACATCAGGAAAATAACAAATCCTTGTAGGAGTCTTGTACAAGGAGCCCTCAGCCTTGTGAGAACTTGTGAGAATTTGTGGGCCTTGTAGATTCTTGTGGAACCTTGTAGGTAGTCCTTGGAGGGGATCCTTGTACAAGGTCACCTATAATGATATATAAACACCTTCTATTAGCACTCAGGCATCAGAACTCCCAAGAAAAGACAAACTGTATAAGGTACCAGAGTAATGCATAACTACCCAGTAGTACCTGGAGCTAAGAAGGATATCTTTTTCAAACTGTAGTCATGTAGTACTGTACAGTAACACCGCGGCGGAGATGCTTGTGGACAACTCGCGGAAGGCGAGACGTAGTGCGCGAGGGGGCGGGAGAGTGCTGCTGCGCGAGGAGGCGGGGCCTGCCGCACGGTCAGCTGGAATGGTGCGGAGGCGGTGAGATTTTCCTCAGTCTAGCCGACAAGCTGACAGAATCAGGCTGACGAAGTGGTCGGCTATGATCCGTAACAGCACGGAAGACTTTCTCCGGTGTGACGAAGCCTGTCACATCCCTCTTTTTTCTTCTTCTCCCCCCATTTTCGCCATTCGCCTGGCCGCCGCCGGTGTCCGCCCTGACCAAGGTTTTCGAAGTGCTGCCGCGCCACCTGAGTCGACAAAGTGGTGGAGAACAAGGTGCGTCTTGTGTCCACCATCGTCCGCCGCTAACAACACACGCTACCTCCCTGTTACCCCAAGCTGTCGGCCTGCTGGCCAGCTGAACGCGCCACCGTCAGATTCGTTTGGCGTCGCTGCATGTACGTTGTATTCGTGTCTGCAGACCACACTATCATTGACGGTCACCACCACTCAATAGCGCTTTCGACGCATGACTGCGGATAGAAGAGTATGGCGTGGTTGTGGGGCAAAATCTACCCCTGGTAAGTAATTAGAAGCACCCGACCTACATGTTCCTTACCCCTTACAGCTTGTGCTCGCCGACACTATCAGCGGCGGCGAGCTGACGCGTGTCGTCGGCTCTCTTACGGCCGGCCTATTTTCCCTATATTCTTCCCTTCTTTCCTGACTCCCCCACACCGCATCCCACACACCGATTTCGACTCCGTAGCTACGCCCGTCGCACCAACCAGCAAGCTTGGCCGCCACCACGCGTCCTTTCTGGACAACGCGGACCCCGCCGGCCTTGCGCTTGGGGCTCCAAAACGGCGACCCCCGACGACCCCACGCGGATCAACGCCAATCCGCAGGGCCACGCGCTTGCTCCGGCCGGCGTGCCGTTCGACATACCGCCAGTTCTTGGTGTTCCGGGTCATACTGCCCAGCGCGGGGGCGGGGGTGAGTGCTGCATTGGAGTTCCGCCCCAGCATTGCACGCATCGGCGGCGGCCGTACCGTGAGCGTGCGTTCGCCCCAGTCGGGGTCGCTACAAGCTGGGGTGAGTGTTAGGAAGCAGTGGTGGTTGATCTGGTGTATAGCTACATACTATGTACTCCTTGTACCATGCAATTGATCAGGTTTCTGTCATTTTTCTGCTTGTTCCCTACACTGAGAAGTCCTTGTGAATGACCTTGTGGCCCAGCCTTGTGTAGCCTTGTAGGCCTTGTGAGCCTTGTACAAGGAGGGGACATAGCTTGTACAAGGCCTTCTACAAGGCCGGCCTTGTGAGACCTTGTAGACCTTGTAGACCTTGTACAAGGCCTACAAGGCCTCTACAAGGATTTGTGATTTTCCTGATGAAACAATGGTCTCGTCCAACGATGCCCAGATATCAAGCCAGCCATCACAGTTGAAAACATCCATCTGTCCCTTATCACGCTGTTTTGCTGGTTCGGCGGTCTTCTTTGACTTGAGTTGGCGGTCGGATGATTGCGCGCAGTGATATGCATACCGTGCGTAGCTGCCATCACCTTTCTTGTACTTGTGTATGCCGTGGTAGCTATTGAAGATTGGTGAGAATCTAGTTGTACCAGTCCAACAGAATGACCAACTGGAATCGATATTGGGTATTCTCCCATACGCGCTGTGAGAGCGCGTCACAGTATTCTTTTGCGTCCGTCACCTCCAAGTCCAAATCCGACATGTCGATGATTGCTGAGAGCTGGTGTATCTCGTCAGCTGTCGAGAGAGCCTCGGAAAACGCGTCCGGTGTGAGTACTGGTAAGTCCAAAAACTCGGTAGCTTCCGAGTCGATGCCGCCGTTCCCCCGAGGCTTCTCGTTCACGGCATTCTCCTTATCAGAGTCTTCATCAAGCCCGTTATCATTTCCACCAGATTTCTGTGCTGCGCGTTTGGCTCGTTTGGCATTTTTGTCGCGGTCGGCGCAAGCACGGCAGCTGCCAGTGATTCCCAGTCCTGACGCGTCGAATTTGCCCTTCCAGTTTTGGGCTGAAACTGCCTTTTGCTTACGACACCTAGTACAGCGTCGCAGTTCTTCTCCCATAGCTGGCAGAGAAGCTTGATGTAGAGGAGGGGTGACCGTGATGCGGCACATGATGTGACTCAACGTGGGTGCTACCTAAACAAGACAACTATCGACTTGGCGCCGACGACGACGACGAGCGCTGACACAACGTTGTCGTGTCATCGGTAATCGGCTCTGATGTCCGCTGATGTCCGATCATCGGACGCTGCGACACTGGTGGGCGTATAGGGTTCACTCTGAGCTCATTGTGGCGCGTGGTTTGACGGGTATTGGTGGAGGCGGGATGAGTACGTGCGTCGTTCTTCCACTGCGTCCTGCAGCTTTTAAAAAGACATCCAGCGTCGTAAGCATCATCATGTCGGATATCGTGCCCCTTCGTTCTCGGGGAACATGGCAAGGCGTTCTCAACATCATATACGCGGCTGGCTCAGCAACTGGAGCTCCTCTTGGTGGTTTTTTGTCTGATTCGATTGGGTGGAGATGGTGTGTCGTGCGGATTAGCCAATCCCTTTCATTTCTCTCATTCGTTTCCAAGGGGTTTCCTCGTTCAAGTGCCCGCCGTTGTCCTGGCATTCCTCAGCGTCTCCTTTGCCCTTCATCTTCCGCCTACCACAACTTCCAACCTACGCAACAAACTTGCCCGCGTCGACTTTTCTGGCGCCCTTTCCCTTGTGCTCACGGTCTTCCTCTTGTTATTTGGGTTAGACCGAGGAGGAAACATGTCCTGGTCGTCCCCGCTCACAATCACAACGCTCTCCCTCTCCGTCGCGTTCTTCATCACATTCGCTTCAATCGAGTTGTTCTATGCAGCGGAGCCCTTCGCTCCCCGCCGAATCATTGCCCACCCATCCCTGATTTATGCTTATTTCGTCAACTTTTTCGGGCTCATGGCTGGCTTTAGCGCAATTTTCCATATAGCGCTTTTCTACCAGGCGGTGATGAGGATGCCTCCCGCCGAGGTGGGCTGGTGGATGGTGCCCAGCGTTGTCGCCGGCGTCATTGGAAGTCTTGGTGGTGGATTGTGGATACAATCGACAGGGAAATATTACTGGGCTACCGTCTATGCGTATCTCGGTATGGTGGTGGGCATGGTGGGGACGACGATTTCTGCGGGGCTTGTGGCAAAGAGCGCCGTCGGAGTTGCAGTAGGCTCGTTTGTCGTTGCGGTGGGGAACGGTATGGGTGTAACCACCAGCTTGATCGGTATTTCTTTGCTCTCCGTCTCGACATTAGTATTCACGTTTTCGATAGCTTTGATCTCCAATGCTGGCGCCGCAGACCAAGCAATAGCGACAGCTGTGAGCTATCTCTTCCGCTCGTTAGGTTCTGTGGTCGGACTCTCGATCGGAAGTGCTATTCTGCAATTAACTCTGCGACGAATCCTCCATCGAACGCTGGGTGCGGATGGGGATATCGATGTCGATGAGGTCGGTCCAGATGTTAAAGCTTTCGGAGCTCAAGCCATAGAGCTGATTATATGCTTCAGATCACTGGCACCCGACAAGTCCGTGCCTCGCTCACCTATATCGACACCCTCCCGCCACATATTGCCCTCCTAGTAAGAGAAGCCTATGAACGCGCTGTGCTAAACACGATATTGTTCTCCACAACGATGTCGGTCGGTGCTCTGGTGGCGGCAGTCGGGATTCACGAGAAAAAGATTACGCCGGGAACCGTTAGCGCGCAGCCTACAGAAGAGGACGATGAGTAAAAATTGTACTTATAGCTCAGGCTACGCTTTCAAATGGCAATATTCTATTCGAGTAGCTTCTTAATCGTAGATACCTACGAAGTTAGGTGTCGGCTGACTAATGCCACGTCACAACCTTCTTTCTTCACCTTGACAACCAGCTGGCAATGCCAATGGACTACATAGCCTGCAACTAACCCGCGACATCGAAGACGTCGTCTGCCCCTCCGACTGTACAACTCTCCGCCGCCCTCTAAAACTTGCAGCAACGACCTTGAACCTTCGAGCGAAACTTGGAGTTTAAACGGGGACCAGTGACTCGACAAACTTAGACGCTCGGGAAATGGACCAAGCCGTTCACGCAGGAGGAAATCGATGTGAACCTCGCTCAAGTGGGAGCCGCGTGGCATCGTTGCGGATGCATTTGACATCAGTGGACGTCATTAGACTACACTCGCAATAATGTGGGAAGCGAATTGCGGCTGGGCGGCAGGAAAAGGAAGCAGGCGAGCCTTTTTTCGGCAAGTGTTCTTTTCTTTGAACCACCACCACCACTTCCTCCTCTCGTCTTCAATGGCACGCCTCGCCGTCTCGTGCGTGCTTTAGCCCTTGCCAGCTATCTCGCTGACCTTCTCCTCTCCAGCATACTCCTCGCCTCGCTCCTCGCGTCCACGCTCGCCATTTCCAACGTTCAGGCCCCGTCGTCACCCACGGCAGCCAAGAACACCACCATTACCTGGTCGTCTGACTCGTCCGATTCGTACGTATTTTTCTATACCTCGCCATTCATGTCCTGACGCCTCTTCTCACAGCAACCCGGTGACTCTCGCCCTGTTCAGTGCGGACTCGCCAGACGTTACCTATGTGAGTCGTGTTTTACCTCGACCTCGTTTTTCTCGCTTAACGACTTCCTCGTTGCATGCAGCCTGGTGGCCTCGCGCTCGTTAACAACGTCAACCCCAAGGATAACTCCATAACTGTTTTGTGGCCCGCAATCGAGCCTGGGTGAGTTATTTTTGCTTGCTTTCTTTCTCCCAGAAGACGCCGTCCCTCCCACGATCATCGCACGCATCTTCATCTTCCTTCAAGTTGCCCATCGCCGCCACATTCAATCTTCTATCCAATGACGTCCGCCTGTCTATAAACTGATCACTTCTCACAGATCGTACATCGTGTCATTCCTCTCCAGCTCGAATACGTCTGACGTTCTCGCGTCCTCCTCGTCATTCAGCGTCAGCCCCTCGCCCGCTGTCTCCAGCACCACCCATGGCTCCACCGCTAGTGGTGGCCCCAGTGCCTCCCATTCTGCTGTTGCCAGCAGCCTTTCTGGTGCCGCTTCTTCGATCTCTTCCGTTGCGTCGAGCGCTCTGAGGTCCCTTTCATCTGCCGCCTCGTCTCAAGCTTCGCAACATTCTTCCGCTGCTTCTTCCGCCGCAAGCGGGAGCACTAGTCCCAGTGGCAGCGGAAATGCAGCTGTTCCTGTCCGCCTTTTCGGTCCTGGTGTTGGAGCGGCGCTGGGTACCGTCTTGGCTGGGCTCGCCATTGGTATCTTTGTGGTTTAGGCGAATGGGACCCGTCTATCGGAAGCTAGGACTCGAAAACGCCTCCCTCTTTTACATTCTTCCTTTGCGTCTTCTTGTCCTCTTGTTGCAAACCTACCCACTTTACTCCACGGACACCTTCACGTACATACCCCGACATTGGCAGGCACATACTACTCTATTTTTCTTGTACCCATGATACCACTGTACGTACTAAGTACTTAGGCTGTACCCAGGGTAACCCATTGTTGTTGTGATTGTATACACATTGCTGGTGGATGATGATGCCAAAATTCTCTTGTATAATTTGGCAGCCAAATTATACAAGAGTGAATAGTTGACTTGCTTATGGTGAATGTCCGCTCTTGTGATAAAACCACATTGCGCCGACTGTACCTGCTTGATATGATTGTTCCGATATGGTAAGTGTTGCCCCATGGCCCTGGGAAGCATTCCTTCAAGTTGTCTCCAACGCCCATGCCCCCTCGCAAGAAAATTCCGGGCAAAGGCCGCAATATCTCAGGGCTCAAAAATCAAGGCCCTAAGCCGCAATCCGCACAGGTTTCTGCAGACACGCATATGCAGCCAGCCGTGGAGGCGGTTCAAGTCTCTCCGATTGCGCCAGATAACAGTCCTCATCCGTAGGTGTAAGATTTAGCCTGGGCTCTAGGAATAGCTAGAATAGCGATAGCCTAAAACTTAGGAAGAATTTTCCCAGTCAAAAAAAGACTTTAGAAATGGGTTATTAATACATCAAATTGATAGACATGATGCTAAAAATACTATATATAGTAATGCTAACTCCTTTTCTTCAGGCCGATGACCCGGTATATAGTGGGGAAGGCCTGTGTCCAGGATTATCCTAATTGGGACTAAAATGATGTAGCTTGACACAGTGATCAAAACTACTGATGGCCATCAAAAATCGTTCCACATCAATAATATATATCAAGGACCACAATCCCCATCCAAATTGAGGCAATATAAAGGCAGAAAATGCATAAATAAAGAATAATAGTATAGTAATTACACCGCTAGAATATAGGGACTAGGAATACCTAGATGTCTAGGCTACCGCTATTCTAGCTATTCCTAGAAGCTTTTTAGGCTAAATATTACCACTACAGCTCCTGTCATATCCATGCATCCGTCAAGAGCCGCGGCCCGCGGGCCGGTCACGGTCCGCCGGGCTCCGGCCCGATCCGGTCGCTCCGGCAACCTTGTACTCTGTATGTCTTTCGCCTTGTTACTTATACCTCCGTATGTCCTTATGCTTGTTACTTTCCATATGCACTCCGTACCTTGTACTTACTTATGGTCTTCCCTTTCTACTTACTTGTAGTATTTAAACAGCTAAAGTAGCTACGGTACTTTAGCTTGATTATAAACATTACTTGCACTCCTCCTCTGTGCGGAACGACTCTGATAACTCTCCTCTCTTCTCTTGTCCTTCAACCGGACTTCTCTCCGCTCACGGATATTGTCCGCTCCGACTCTGCTCCGGTCCGGTTGGTCTTGTGTTTATTCGTGTCAGGCAGCTACTGGCTTGTTAGCTATAGTAGAAACCCCCTCTGTTCTGCACGGCACTTGACAATAGAGTACATGGTACGCTATCGCGCATTTATATATGCGGGCCTGCAAAGGGGTGATCGGACACCCTGGTCTCCTACTTCTCCTTGCCCCCGTTCCTGGCCGCAGAGGGGACGATCGTACATCCCTTGCAGGCCAGGCACTACTCCTAACTTCCATTCGTTTGTACTCAATGTTTGCCTACCCACATCAGGAAAATGACAAGTGCTTTTTTGGTAGCTTGGGTAGTCCTTTTTTCAGTTTTAGCTTTTTTGTGAACTTGTGCCAACCTTATGGACAGCTTGAATGACTTGTGATACAAAGCTTTGAAACTTTTTTAGCTTCAGATATTCCTGAAAATAATATAATATCTGAAAATAATATTTTTTAAAAAATTAAAATAATATTTCATGTGCATGGTAGTCTGCATACTTGTTTACGTAAAATACTTTAAATGCATCTAAAGAGTCTGAAAAGCTCAGGTCTTTGTCATCAGGAGGTAGAAAGTCCTTCCCAGCCACACCAATCAAATTTACTCCCCATAAGATTGCATCAAGATGGACAACTGCTAGCAGGGGTTGTGTGCGGGCAGAACCCCGAACCCAGTCTGGCTTCACAATCCACATCCTGGTACCCAGACAAGGGGGTGTCGCCATGAGCTGAGAACCAATGAACCAAGGCGCAGGGATATTGAATACCACGGAATGTGAACTTCATCAAAAGTCGAACACGGACAGTGTTAAGGCCACGGAAGCCCTGAGCTTCCGTGTCATGCTCGATGAGAGCACAGTCGTATCGAGGTGGACCACAGCACCATGACTTGGTGGCTCGAATTCGTTCATGACGCATCCCACCAATTCCGCAGATGTTGCTAGGAGCATAAAACACTGCCCGGGCGGAGGTGTAGATATAGACATGTTTGGCGAAGTCTGGACAGTTGTCAAGAGGGATAATGTCCTCAGTTGCTGCTCGCTCAGGATTGAGCTGTTCGAAGAGAAAGTGTCGAATGAGTTTATGAAGACGTGGCTGGTGTATATAATGTGCCAGCTGGTGTACGTTGCGGGGCACCTTTCAAACTAGGAAGGCTTTATCAAATGCTGTAGTAAAGGATGGGAGGAAGACAGTACCACAGCTTTTCGCAAGGGTTACCTCCCCTAGGCAGGTAGGGCCCGGAACATCCCCTTCTTCCACATCATCATCAACAGTGGTCTCTACTGGTCGAGTTTCGTCCTCTACGGGCGCCAGTGGTGATGCAAATAGCGACCCAGATAGCATACCACGGGCAGCGAAATCAGCCTGTGCAGCGGCAAGTTTGTTGAGTTGTTGGTTCGAGAGAAGCATTTGACCAAGGGGTTTATTTCGATTAGACCGGCGGTATGGCCGCTTTACAGCCCGAATATGCTTCGACTCCGTGATTGAGCTGCAAAGTCCATTTGAAATACCAAAGTCCATGATGCGATGATGAGTGCGGAGTGCGGACAGCAAATGAGCTCTCTAACCAACAAAAACAACCAAACTCCACTTTTCGTAGAGAGAAAGATGTATAATGTCAAGTAGGAAAAGTCACAAAACCCAAAAATCGTCAACTCCTTGTGCAAGAACAGGCCCCTGTGAACAGAGCCTTTGTGTAAGGTTGTAGGGTAGATACAAGTTTCTTGCAAAAAACGTTGATTTTGTGTGCCCTAAAGCGTACTATTGACGAAACTCCGCAATAGAGAAGCGCCAATACGATGCCCGGAGAGTTTATACTCGTTGGATCAGGACTAACTGCCTTAAACCCTCTGAGTTGTCTCGAGTCAGGAACTAACTGCCTTAAACTCTTGACCAGCAACCGAAACCCAATAAACAGCAACCGGAACTCTTGTATTCAGCAACCGAAACCCTCAACCAATAATCCTTCTGACGCGATGATACTATTTCGAAAGAGCTAGCAAGATAGATTGACGAGCTAGATCCCCAGATGCACCTAGTAAAGCAGGGCAATCCGTGAATCTGCCAAATACAAAACGGAGATATAAATACTAAACAGAAATTTGATAAAATTAGGTAGATCATGAGTAAGAAAAGTAGTCCATGCGCATAATTGTATAGGTATTGTTTCGCCATACGGCCCAGAGTCGAAAATCCAGGTCCAGATGACTGGTATCGCGTGTATTGGTGTCACACTGGGGGCAATGACAATGGCGGTTGGCATATGGCAGCCTGATGACAGGCTGTCTGGGAGACCTCATGGCGGACCCAACGGGCGGTTCCACTGGCGGCCAGTTCAACAAAGCAAAGAACAAAGAACTTCTCTTTGTCTGAATGTACTTGTGCAATCAACTTTCTTACCCAGACCCTAAGTTATAATTACTGGAGAAACTTGCGGCACATGACACGTGTCTATTTTCCTTTCACACCACCACCATCAGCAACACCACCCACCCGCCCTCTTGATCGTAATTCTGGGCGGAAAGGTCTCGAATTCCACATGCGACACCGCGCGCATGCACTCTTGCGGCCCTCACCTTTCTGCGCTAGTACAACGGCGCGTTGTTGCTCGACGTTGAAATATAAAGTCAAGGTGTGCATTTCAAGTTTAACTTAATGTTGTTATTCTATGCTAATGGTCTTGCTCTTGGTTCCCAGCGCGACCAACTGCTCCCATTCCCACATCCTTCACCGCCACTACCCCCACTCACTCACTACCATCTCTGGCGACACATTCCGCTCTATGACTCTCTTCTGCCCAATTTTCCTCAGGCTCCCTCCGACTTGAAAGTTGCTAGGCAATGCCGCGTCATTCATCTCCCACGGTCCTCAAGATTCCTTGGCATTCTGAAGGCTGCGTGGTGGCTGAAGTGCTTTGCGGTCAAGCCCATTCGGGCAAAATCCCGCCATCGGCACAAAAAAGGCCCCTCAAATTCCGACCAGCGCTCGGAACTCTGAGTCCCAGCCAACAGAGCTCATAACTCGGCGCCTCGGTCCACACAGAGGCTGCGCCAGCGCGTGAAGCGTGTGATGACGTGCCTGGGTCAGCCACGCTGTACTTCCCGGCTGGCCAGCGCCCTGCTTGGAGATTCTGCGTGTCGTCTGCGCATGTCACAGCTCAAGATAGGAATTCTGGGGCATCGGGTGGGACTTGGCTGGCGCATCGAATATGTTGGCGCACCATCCTAGACATGGCCGCATACGAAACTGGCGGGTTCCAACCACTTTCGACCTAGGGCGAGTTGCGGCATCATGTGCATGTGCTGCTCAGGATCCGGTGGTCGGATCGGTGTCAGGTTGGTGCGATGGAGGACGGCGGCTGCGAGACGTCGTCAAACTGAATTAATTCGGCGGTCATGTTTACATTACATGTGTAATCACTTTTGTCCGCCATAGGTACTGCAGTAAGATAAGCCATGGTATAAGCCATTTACAACAAACCACGGACCTTGACTTTGCGCTATGACCGAGCGGCGGGAGACAACCGCTGGCCCGTTCACTCTGAAATTTTCAGCGTTTGGATAGACACCTTGTTTGCGCCAAGCGCTGCAGTTTGGCGCGAAACGGCAAAGGATTCGGCGCGGGGGAAGTCGCTTACTAAGCGAGAGAAGTCGGACATGGTAAGTGGCTGCCCGCGGGAACGCGCGGGACGATGACCACCGTTTGCGCGGTAATGGAGGCACCTGGAGGGCCCAGTAGAAGGGCGCTGTTTGGAGGCATTCGGCTGGGAAATGCACCCGGGGTGGCCGAGGCAATTTTAAGCCTTCCCCGGACATTGTGTCTGCCGACGAGTGTTAACAGAGGCGTCTAGCGGTCTCGGTCGTCGAGATGTGGGAAGGGGAGGGGCGTCCCGGACGCTCCTCCAAAGATGGAGTGGAACGGCCGGGAATTGGCTATAGGAGAGCAGGGACAGTGTTTGGCTGAAACTGGGCTGTTTTCACCACTCACCTTCCGTCCCCAGCTTTCTCTCCCCCTCTTCTACGCTCCCCCATATCATTACCCAGCATTCCTCCTCACAACACAACCCTTCCCGCGAGTCTCGCATGCCGAGATCACTGACACCTAGAGGCTAGAGCAGCAAAAGATCCAGACAGCAGCTGCAGGCCCGGCAAGCTGTGGCCGCGCATCACAGTTGGAGCGGGCGGCTGTTTTGGTGGTGCCAGCGCCAGGGCTGGGCCAATATGGCCTTGAAGCGCAGTAGGGGAGGTGAGGGAGCTGGAGGGCTGGCTGGCTTGGTGGTGGGAGTGGGCAAGCGGGACACATCACTGATGTCCGTGATTTCCGCAAGATAGGCAGATGACGCACATCGCGTTTGAGGCCAGGTTCTTGAGCGCGATGCTCAGCCCCGTCGCAGGCAATGGCGCCCATGCCACTGATTCTAGTGACAGGAAGCGCTCTGCGCGACAAGCGCAAGTGCCTTCCTGGCTGATGGGTGCTTCGGCGACAGTGTCGGATATTGACATGTACAATATTATGCAATTGGACAAAGCATTTAACAAAGAAATCTGGCCGCCTATGGAACCGCCGTTGGGTCTGCCATGTGGCCCGTCAGAGATGCTGCCTATCATTCTGTCATCTGGCAGCCGCCAATGACATTGTGCCCGGTGTCAATGACCTGTGTAAATCTTCCGTGTTCACAACCATCTAGTTTTGCTTGTGAAGTATCCCTCGATCTTGAGTAGGATAAGTTGATAGCTCTGCTTCCCAGCTTTCGATTGACACCCATAACTCGTATCTTGTGCGTATGGCCTCAGCGGTAGTTGTCCCAACTCTCCTGGCGCATTTCCAGTGTTCAGATGTCCAGTTCCTCGACAGTGTTTTAGAGTCGCCATTGATCGCAGGTCCAGGCCCCAATCTATTGAGTTGGTTTCTCCCGTTTAACCGTCCCTTGGCACTCTCGATCCTCCAGCAAGATCCGAAACCACGTTCCAATGATGTCAGTCGTCGATACCAACAGAGATAGGGGTGTCCCTTATCTAGGAGAAGTCGACTTTGAGTCTCCACTGCCTTTTAATATACACTCCCTTTGGGTATTTTGCATAGAATTGGATAGATTCTAGCAAGAAACGGGCTCTGCGAACTTTTCCTAGTCAAGATTTCGGTATCACCGAGAGCAATTTGATATATTTTGACTGGATTTTGACTGGTTCTTGTGCAGATAACTCCCTAGTTGACCATTTGGGACTCATGTCAACTCTGAGACGTGCACTGAGCAACAAAATCGACAAAATAGTCATTTCCTGGTCTGTCCCAGACTGCGGCTTATCAGCGAGCAATATAATGCTTCAGCGCATGCTGCGAAAATCCTTGCGGACGTATAACTCGGAAGGCCTTGCGGTAGTGATGATAGCGCCAAATCATCTCGTCAATTATCTGAAGGGTATCTTCATCAATCGCTGAGCGGCGAACCAGGTAGCAGAATTCGATTAGCGCTGTGACCGCCTGAACCATTTCACTTGGAACATGGCCAATGATCGCTGGAAGATAGACCTTACTGTAGCATTTTATTCAGTTCGTATGTCACGTGTCACAGTAGCTATAAAATTCGAAATTTTTTCGTATGTCACACCATTTTGCTCAAAATCCTCTCCCAAAAAGGGAATTTATGACATTTCCGGGCGCCTCCGGCGCCAAGAGTTTCCTAATTAGGAAATAATTCAAATTGATATTTTCGTATTGAATGTCACACCACTTTTGGCATTCGAATTGAATAAAATACAACAGTATATTCCTTTCAGTCCTGAATATAGCTCTGGATCTTGACTTACCTTCATTAAACCCTTTGAGTCATATCCCGTCCACTGCTTGAAGCCTCGCCCGATAGGAAAACGACGTAGTCTTGGAAATGGTGGGGCAACAGCAATTCTAATATCATTATTAGCTGACAACAAATGAATCAGATGAAGGGCATTACCATCGGTCAATGTCCGCCAGAATACACTCAGCTTCTGCAGGCTCATTCACTTGCTTGATATACAATTCAACCCAGTCAACAATATGGTCTTTGAATGTCCCCTTGATAATTTGGTGCAAAAGGTCAACTGAAATGAGTTCATGAATATCGGCTCGAGGGAAGTCTGCCGTAAATGGCTATACCAAATGAGTAGAAGTACAGGCAAATACATAGGACAAACAATTATATCCCCCACAACACCATAGTTATCCCACATCTCCTTCAGCGTCAATGTCTCCAGTAGAGCAGCAGTATGTTGGCAAGACCGCAGTGGGCTGTCACGGTGCAGGTCGTCTGCCAGAGAGAGACAACTGAAACAACAGTGAGCTATTAAGAACAAAAATCAAAGTTACTTACATGGGACAGTAGCCCTGGACGATACCTGTAAGAAGCGCCTGCTCCGGAAAATCCACAATATCAGGGTCAAAGCCGTAGATGGCCCGACGAAAATATCGGTCAGTGCAACGAGTAACATGTGGGGTCGTCATGTAGGGCCGCACAGAGTTAAAGACTCGGCGGATAGACGAATGGAATAGCTGACACCGGAATTTGCGGAATTCATTGCTGTTACAGTCGAAATGCTCATATGGAATAATGTCGGGCGACAGGTCTAGTTGATTCCAGAGTAGAATTATTCCACCTCGCAGACATGGGAAAAAATTTCCTGTTTTAGTAATTCTACTCTATCACTCATTTCTGCATGAAATAACCATTGAGTGTTGTCTGTACCTTTATTTCATCCATCTATTTCGCCACCTCTCGACAAAATGCCCTTAAAATACTCCCTAGACTGATTGATGCTTCAAAATCTGGCCGGCCCTTGACAATTGTTTCCAGAAACTTTGCTGCAGTGACTGCAGCTTGATGGTCAAAGGTAAATGGTGCCTCTTCATCTTCATCTTCTGGCTCATTTTCAGGCCCCTTCATTGACTCCAATATCTCCTGTACACCCGCATCTCCATCGGCAAACAAACGAGAGTCGGCATCTTCACGTTCACGAAGGGGATCAAGAACATCTCCAAGTTCCGGCAAATCTCCTCGCAAACACTTCTCCTTCACCATCTCTTTCATCGTCATGTCCAACTCCTCTTCGGCATGCACTAAACCTCGATCTGCCGCAAGAACCTTCGGTGATGACACGGTTGTTGGTGAAACTGAGGACACCGGCATCAACTGACGAACAGCTGCCTCCGCGACAGTGTGGTTATTCTCGGCATCCATCACAGCTTTCAAAGCCAAGGCCCACTCTGAAGCCTTGAAGCGACTGCCGAGTGCTGATTCCAGCTGCTGTTCAGCCATTGGCAGAGTGATGATGAGCGTGCAAAGTTGAGGACGACTTGCCAGCCTTTGTCCAGAGTAGGTTCGATAGGCAACGGTGTTGTAACATGAACAACATCTTCCATCTTATCCTCAGAGTCCGAGCAATCAGATGGCGCGTTAGGATCGACAAAGATGTCGTCCCATTCAGCATCGGCAGGTGGACATGTCTTCGTATGTTTAAAGCAGTTGGCAACCGTCTCTCTCGTCACTCCATCCCACGCAGTCTTGCGCATTTTCATGCCCGTGAGGATGTCGATTTTGAATGGCTGGGAAGAGCCAGACTCGTAAAGATCGAGGGCACGGACACAGAGAGCACGTCGGTAATGGGCCTTGAGGCAGTGTATAATGCCGGCGTCACATGGCTGGACGTATGGGGTCATGTTGGGCTCATAGTAAATCAATTCAATGTTTTTTTGGCTCCTATCCAATGTAATGGCCAGAGAAATTGTCAAGTGTACGCATAATGTGATATTTTCCCTTCTTCATCTTCAGGTCAAGCTTCCGAATACGTCTTTGAATTGTTAGACAAGCTACAACACTTGGAACGAAGGCAATGTACTCCTCAAACAGCTCGGCAGTCATCCAAGCCTTCTTGTTGTTGCGGTAATAGATTAAGGGATGCATTTTTGCTGGATCTTTTTTGTTGAATGTCCTAGGGCTCTTGAACTTCCCAATAAACATCAAGTCCTCCTTTTCTGACCCCGCTGAGTTACAAATAACAAGCACTGAGATTCGGAATTTGTCTGTTTTTTTCACCAGAGACCGGCTGGGAGCATAGCGTGCGATCGGGCGGCAAGAAGCTCATCTCATCAGCGTTCCAGATATCGTCAGGCGCATATTGAGCAAGAAGCTGCATCACTCGTCTATGTTCCTTTTCAACTGCGGCCATGTCCACCGATCCTGCCTCTCCATGTCAACACCGCTCACAAATCCCATACCTAATCAGAGTCAATAGTGCAAAAAAGGGAGAGGAATGCTACACACACGCGTTTGAATGACTCTAACCAGCCATTGCCCTGCAATCTCCGTTCCTCTGGGATATTCAATGCAACCTCGAACGGATGGCGCATCTCAATCAACATTCGGCCCGAAACCGTCTGCTGCTTCTTTTCTTTGTCTTGAAACCAGATGGCCAAGGCCTTGTCAACCTCGGGCAATGTCACAACTCGGTCTCGCTTTCGCGATTCAGCAATGGGATTGGCGGAAACTTTGTCTCTGATTTCTTCTTTCTTCTTGAGCTTCTTCGAGAGTGCAGATTGTTTGAAGAGCAATTTCCCACCTAGCCGGTCCAGTCGAGTTGCAAAGTACCAACAGACAGCTGCTTGTGTCTCATTTGGATGTGAATCAACATAGTCAAAGACTTCAATCCAGTCGCCATTCGTGAGATCTCGTTGCTTTTCATCAGCAGCCAATCGTGCCGAGGTTTTGTGTCCCACTGGCTTACGGCCTGGCTTTTCATGCGGCTTTGATGATGGTTTTCTCGTTTGCTGAGCTCGTATAGCCCGTCTTTTGGGGGAGCTACCAGCAGCCATGAGGGCTCGGATGAAAATTTTGAGCCGTCGGGCTTCTGGGTATGTCAAATAAGCTCAAATTAACTAATGGACCATTATATTCCGCCTACAAGGCATATTCTAGTAAGGAATAATCGGCATAATTCTCTATTCTATATTCCACATGAGTTTGGCTGGAATCCAGTTCTCCCAACCCCGTAGACCCAAAAACTGATTCCAGACTACGGTTATTCCACGTGATGATATTACGCATGAGCATCAACTGTAGCATATTGTCGTGTCGCTAGCATGCATTAGTATTCATAAACTAGATGAAAGAATGACGTACTCTTGGGAATAGCCAGGAATTCAAGTAAGGCAATGCCATCACCATGGCTGCGTCGTGGGCCATTCTTCTCGTTACCAACTCCGTCATACATTGGCCAGAAGTCGACATTCCTAGGGTAGAGCACGGGTCAGGGTCGACCCGCAGGGTTTCAGGGTAGGGTCTGTCAGGGTCAGGGTCAGGGTATGACAATTTCTAAAGCCCGGCCAAACCCGGACCCTTTCAGGGTCAACCCGGAGGGTCCAATGAGCTGTTGTGATTTAACAATTCCCTATCTAAACTTGATTTTTGTGAGTTTTTAAGAGACAAAAAAAAATCATATGTCACTTATGTCACTCATGTGACATGTGACATATGAGTGCACTGTATTAAATATGCTTGACATATTGAGGAATAGGCTCGATATGCTATATCTGAGCCAATATCATACAGAAAAATGTATCTTATGTTGAAATTATTGTCCCAAATACATCTTCTACTTCTATGTCTCCAACCCGTGGGTCAACCCGGACCCGGTTGGACCCGTACCCGGAAGGGTCAGGGTGTAAGGGGAGCATGTGATGTGACAGCTGTGACTGATCACGTGACTGGTCCGTGCGCAGATAGCCCTGATCACGTGACTGGTCCGTGCGCAGATAGCCCTGTACTTAAGTAGTTGGCCGTGGGGCTGTTCCCCCGGCTTTGGTATCAACTAGGCACCTGGACCCTCATCCCCTGACACAGGGTTAGTCAGGGTCAGGGTCAGGGTCGGCCTTCTGAGACCCGGACCCGGACCCGTGCTCAACCCTAGACATTCCCAGTCCCAATTGAGGCTGTGGTCTTGTCGCTGCCAACGACAATGGGGATGAACATGGCGCCATGAGTCTTCTCGTCTTTGGCAATAATATCCTAGGAAAACATTAGCTTAGATCATAAAATGAAGCAGAAGTACTTGCCGCCTGTCTCCAGGCCCAGTTCCCTGACATCAAGTCGGTAAACTGCCTCTTGCCATCCTTGAAACCATGTTTCGGGGCCCAGACCTCGTAGGTTTGGGTCATCCATGAGGGGATTTTGCCTGTCTCGGGACACGGGCCAGTGTACTGGACAGAGAACGACTGCCAGGGAATGTCGCCCTGCTGGATTTCATCGATCATTGCATAGAGGTGGTGATGGTTGTTGAAGAAAGGGTCTTCCGGTAGGTACAGTGCAGCCAAGAATTGCGCCAGTTGGTCGATAGAGTCACCTGCCATCTCTTGCCGCTTGTAAATGAATTCAGCAAACTTGAATTGCACACGAGTATTGAACGAGCCCCAGTCGTTCTTGGCATGTTCATCCAACGGTGGTGGTGGAGCCCCAGGAGGTAAGTCGTATCCATTGGCATCACAGCGCATGCCTGTGAAGTGGTCAGAATGGTTTCCAGGAATATTGACAGACACACTGTCAAGCACAGGATGGAGCTCAATTCGCACACGATCGTGCGCGGTTGGTTCAGTAGCTGAAGCGGGAGGTGTATCGGGCGGCGGCGGCGGCAACGAGGGAGGTGGGAATGGAAGAGCATTGTCGATGGGGTCCAGCTGTGGAGAGATTTGCTGTGGGTTGGCAGCTGAGGGCTGGCGGGGAGCAGTGGGAAGTGATGGATGGCTGCTGGTGGTCACGGCCGAGCACCTCTTCACTCCTCCCATCACCTCCACCCCGTCCCGCATGCCAGTGCAGCAAAGTTGCCACGTTGGCCGCCATTTGTTGGGTTGCTGACTCCGTTGGCAGGCTCAAATACTGCGCGAATTGGATTCGCGCAGTATACTCACCCTGCTCAACAAACACGGCGAAGACATTCAGCAGCATTAGAAAAGGTGATTTCTATTGCCATATATGGTATTAGCTAAGTCATATCTATCAATTTGGCTCTTTAATTTAACATTTACTTTCCAGGCTTGTGACTCCTGGACAACTGTCCACATCTTTTGCATTACAGCTGTGGACAACTGTTGAAAGATGGGGTATATGGGGTGAATGTGTCTAGCCCGCAAACACCTGTGTAGCCCAATACCCACTGTATACTATCTAGTCCACCCCAGCGGGGTGTCGCAGATAAGCCATGCTGCTCTCAGCATTGCCATAGAACTGAATAAACCCTGGAAAGGGAACTGAATAATTCTGAGCAGTTCTTATATTTTCAACAGTTTTCGCACCAAGTCCACACAACTGGCTGTTATCACCTCACTCATAGTATGAATAATGTTCAATAGACCTGGTAATCCAGGCTACTAAGAGTAGTAGTATTATATATATAGTTTATGTAGCTTATTAGTATATCTACAGCTATTGTACAAGTATATTATGCTATGAATAATAATGAATAATTCAAGACTTCGGTTGAACTTAGCGTCTGGGTCACGGTGTTACATGTATCACATACTATCATATCTTTCCTAAAAAGGAAATTTCTGCCATTTGACTCTACACTCATCAGGGAATGTTACAGATGGGAAATGTCACATATTGTCACATATTGTCACAAATAAGGTCATTGAGATTAATATTGTATACTGGTATGAATAAGTATATTGAATTATAAGCCATCAGTATACATATCTCCCTGCTCCAAATTCCCACGGTCAACATAATCAAAGCCTAGCATAGATATTTGGTAAGCCAAACTTGACGCTGCTGAAAAAACCTGATGTTCATCACATCGGATATTTTTGCCGAAATATTTTGGTCGGTCACAGGTCACAGCCCATTCTTTTGGTCCCAAAGCATCCCGATTTGGAAGAATTTCAAAATTTTCGCACCTTCGACGCGCTGAATTTCCTATTTAGGTAAGAGGTCACACACAAAATTCGGCCTCTGGCCGAATTGGACATATCGGCCAAACGGTCATGGGTCACAGGCCCGCTGAATTGAACAAAATGGGTCAGTATCTACAGGTATGAATAGTTTTAGTTATTTATATGTAATAGTAAGTAAGTCTGAGATAATCAAGAACAAAGAGGTGTGGTGTAATTAGTGCAGTAGTAAGGTAAGATAAGGATGTGGGAAAAAATGAAAAAAGCATTATGTGATATGACTAGACAATAAGGTGAGCAATATGATGTTGTAGTCCATTTGTGGTCAAAGCAGTGCAAATAGCGTGAAATGGGTATCTCAAGTTAATGAAGTGGGCTGCTTACTCGAACTCCTCGCCCCGCTGCCCTGGTGGTCCACCTTTCTTCCCCTTGACCACATTAGCTCTGGCCTTTGAGCTTGCAAAAAGAGGCTTTGGCTTTGGCCGAGGCACTGCAACTGCATCCGGCTTTGCCTTCGACTTGCCCATTTGCTTCAGTAGCTGTTTGTAGGCGCGGTTTGAGCCCCGTTTCTTCCTTGGTTTCGTTTGATCATCTTCAGAATCGTCCTCGACAGCCGACTGGGTATGACGCTTGCGTTTGCGGGTCGGCACTCTACCATCGCCTTGCTGCTCAGTTTCATGATGTTTTTGGGCAGAGCGACGTGGTCTGTCCCTTGCAATACTCTCGCCTTCTCCACCTGCGCGGGTATCAGACCGAGATTTCGTTGCAACTTGGCGACCCTTCTTGCCCCCCCGACTCTTGCCCTTATCAGACCGCGTCCTCCGGTCAGCTGGTTGTGGCCGCTCGCCTGCGTCCACGAGCGCCATGTACTCGGCCTCGATCTCCTTCTTCTCCTCCTCTGTCGAAACGGCAGCCCAGTAGCATTCACGAGTTTCAATGGCTTTTTTGCGAGCGCACGAAGCGGAGCCACCTTCTTGATTGCAGCAGGTGATTTCCATGGACAGTTGGATGGCCACCCATGAAGATGGACACGGTAGTTGTCGAGTATGGCCGTTAGATAGTTTTCATAGTTCATGCGTGTCCCCGGTTTGGCAAGATGAGCTAGAAGTACAGTAAGAACTCATTATATCGTATGGTAGCGCAGCAAACCTAGTCCCCGGGAAAGGAAGTTTTGACAGTAAACTCGAAGATTTGGTACGCTCATATGTTCCACTCCTGCACAGACATAAGTTATATTCCATGACAAAATAACAAAATTACCTTTTCCAGTCGCCTGCGCCCAGTTCGCGAAGTCGGATGCGAACTCCGTCTCGGTCAGACCAAACCGCTCATACATATACCGAGCACCCCCAGCATCAAGGACTGCTGGCAGGACGAGGGTATTATCCTTTGCCACTGGTGCCACAACACCAAAGGAGACGCTCTTGGTGCGTTTACGAAGATCAGACATCTGAGAAGAGGTAAGCAGACAGTATCTGAATCTTCGCACACTGACCATCTTCGTGAGCTTGACTGCAGCTCCAGAAACATCTTTCGCTTCTCCGAGCGCCGTTGCCGCGCTTTCCTGTTGACTTGAGCTTCTTGCGAGCCTGATATTCGGCAATAATTTCAGCCTTCTTCTCTGGCGAGAACGCAATAAGGTCTGGGTTTTGCTTAACGCGAGCCTGGGCAACAACGTAGGTGATGGGTCTCTTTCCTTGGGCCTTGCGCTCTGGCCAAGCTATTAGTAAGAGCTGGAGTCAGATAAAAAAAAGAGCACACCTTCATTTGTTTGCCGGCAGTAATAGCCCGTTAAGGCGCTGCGCGCAGACGTTGCTCGTTTCATCTTCCATTGTGCCGAGCCGCCCATTCTCTGCTCGACAAGACCAACTCTGAATTCGTACTTTTTGGCAAGGCGTTGAATTAACTTCTTCTCCTTCTTCTTGTTCTTCATATGAAACTCCGCCAGCTCTTGAGTCATCTCCTGCATCTTCATCCTTCGTACACGTTGTTGCTGGCCTGACTTGGCCCCGAAGGATGGTCATCTTGCAGCGGCCATTGGTCTTCGTCCTCACTGTCGGTAACTTGATGATGTTTGGGATTTTGAGTGTTGAGCTCAGGGTCACTATCGTCCTCCTCGCTACTGCTTTGACTCGAAGCGTCGGTGTCAGGCCCCTCAGGCTTGTCGTCTTCATTTTCCACAGGAAGTGGCCTCGGTGGCCCATGAGCAACCTCTCATCGTACTCGACTCCAGGGACTTCATCAGTGAACACAGTTTGGAGACTGTTGTCATTGGGGTGGCAGTCGAGAGACATCAGTAGTTTCTGAAAGAGGGTGCGTTTAATGAGCTGTAAAGCCTTCAGTAAATGCCACAAGGTGAGAGTCGTTGAAGAGACACACTGGAATGGATAGCTACACAGCTATTCAAAGGTTGATACTTGCTAGATCTCTTGGCGTGGCTGGCGCCAGAGTTAACAAGTGGCAGAAATGAGCGGCAAAAGAAAGGGAAGGGTCACGTGCCACTCAGGGCTGTCCGTATCTTCGACTTCAGCCTCGATTGCAATTCATAACTGATCGAAAAGACCAAAGTCAAGGCCTCAGAAAGCGCCCTTGTCAGTGTTGGAAGAGCTTTGGAAAGTCTAGAGTGGCTATATATCAAACACTCTGTTCAAGGTATCGAGTCACTACTACAACACTGTAAAATGTCGAAGACCACTCGCCCACCGCTCCTGCATGCGCTGGCTGGCTGCCTCTAGCTCCTCGTTTGATGCCGCGGCCTCAAAATTAACTTTCGTCTGGCAACCTTGATCCACCCATCGGAAAAGTCCACCTGCGCTGTATTGCACGAAAGAACTCCGTGTTTCGCCGGCTTGGATCGGAGTGTTTGAATGCAGGAGTAGGGCAGAAGGGATAAGGATTGTTGCGCCGGGCGGGAAGCGTATAACAAGCCTCAAATCCCAGAGGATTAGATGCCCCCCTCTGTCTGGGTCGAAGTTTCCGAGCGCTGTGATTGCGCACCAGCCCCAGGCGAGATTTCCAAAGTCGACATGCGGGGCGCAGACGGCGTTTATGAAGTTCCATGTGCAAGCTGCAAAAACACCGTCAAAAGGCCAACGAAGATGCGGCGCCCAATTGCTGAGTGCGGCGTTGGCCGACTGATATGCGGCGAAAAGAAGGGGCATCCAGAGACAAAAAACGGCTGCGGAAGTTCAGCGTTCTGCAGCGGAGGTAAAAGCACGGTACAGTTTGTAAAGCCGACAATGCTCTTGAATGCGCTGTTGTTGAGCAGCTCGTCAGTGGCGAGTTGGTTATTCTCAGGGCGAATCACAAGTTCGCCAGGTGCCTGAAGTGCGATTAAAACCCCGCAGACAAAAGAAGGTTCGCACTGACGGTCTGTCCGCCGCCATGAGAGACTCCGCGGGCAAGTGCCGCAAAGCCATCAGCTGCGCGCCTGTGCTTGAGTTTCTCCTCGCCGAGCGATATCTTCTGGGAAGCCAACTCGACAGCCTCGTTTGCCTTGTTGCAGACGTCGTCCCAGTTCTGCCCTCGTGGACGTCCAGCAAGCAGAGCCACGAGTCGACGTTTGCGGTCGAGGATGGGCACTGAGTTCCTGGCAGTCAGTTATAAAACTGCCGGCTGCATTTGAAAATGGCACTCACCCGTCTCTCCAATCGACATAGCGCATGCCCTTCGCTTCCAACGCCGGCTTTAAGTCCTCCCTCTGCCAATTGAAGCCTTCCAGCGCTGAAGCGAGTGTTGAGTCGGGGCCGGAGACATGCGGATGTCCAGTCCAGGCAGGCTTCGTATGTGGGAGGTCTCCCATGTCGGCGTTGACCAGAATCGCGCTGGCTTTAGCTTCTCGGACGCGCTTTTCCGCCACGCGTTTTGTATACGGCGCGCTCTGTTGCCGCGCAAGCACGCGCTTTGCATTTTTCTTC